GAGAGAGCGAGGCATGCCCTGCACCACCCTTAAATACATGAATTTGCAGGGGCACTGATTGGCTTGGCCCTGGTCAGAGGTGGGTGTGACAAAGGAAAAGGGGGGAACTTTTCAGGTAGCTTCTTAAAGGGCCATCTCCATAGCCCTTACCCCATTACCAAAGACACAACCCAAAAACCCCTCACAGAAAACCCAATACACTTTATTATTCTCCTCTCTTGGTGGAAATTTTATTATAATCACAATACTTAGCATATTGTGTATTATTATAACCACAATATAAATGTTTAAAACTAACTTAGGTTCCATTCTTCTTCTCTAAAGGTCATTAGCTTTAATGTCTTAATCTGTCCTTCACTTTATGACATTCAGAATTGCAATTTTGTGTTAAACCATGAAAACTTTCAATATTTAAGAAATCACTTTATAAAGGATAGTATCAGTCTTCAGAGAGTGTGAGGCAAGATATACATAATGCAGGCATACAACAAAGTCAGTATTACAAAGACTTGGTAATAAATACACAGCTCTGATCTATCCAATACAAACTAATCAGGATAGGAAGCCTGAATAAAATTTTGCATCAATTAGGCAATAAACATGTTATTTTTATGATTATGAAACCAAAATATGTAATTGTCCATTCCATCACTGTTGAAAAATAAAAGCTGTATAAAATACTACTGTGAGATACTACACATACTTAAAAGGAACATCATTTGAATAAAAACAGACACTGGAAAATATGTTTTCTAAAATTCACACAGAAGTGTGAACTAAATTGGAACTTGTGTTCCAATTAAAAATGTTAAAAATAACATTTGACAATATAATTAATTCATTAGAGTTTTATTTATAAAGAAATATTTCTTACTTAAAAGCTAAATAACTGACAGAGAGGAGTTCTTTGCACAATATAATTAATTTCTTATTACAAAATTCAGATGTGGGATCACAATCCAGTGTAACACAACAATCCCTTTTTACACTGCAGCAAATAGTATGAACTGAAGTAATTTTTGCTTTCAAATGTTGATACACTACCCAAAATGAGGAAGTAAATGCTGCACTTTGATTCAAATTTTACGTTTTTTCCACTCTGGCTTGTCTGTTTCTTCATCTTCTGGTTCCACTTCTGCAAAAACTGTTTTTGGCTGCGTTCTAGAAAACATTAAAAAGATTAAAATACTGGTCAGACTACAGTTCTCTATCAGAAACTGTAGTAGACATGCACTAGACACAAATGACAACCTTTCTATATTTAAAAGAGAGCACCCTAGACTTGTCTATTTTTCATTTTAAACATAAACCTATCAAGTAACAGTCTAGGAACTGAGGAAACTTGCAGCTCTCAGGCAAAGAACATAACACACACACATACACACACATCTTTTTCAGGTATTTTTTCTCATCAGCTCACAATCATTATTTGCATATTCCATGAATAAAATTAAGATAGAAGAAAGGAAGAAATTTATTACAGTGCTAAAAAATGGAGCCATGGGTCTTCTCATTCCATGATTTTTAAAAAAGAAACCTCTATTTTGATACACTGTAGTATGAAAGCAGCCAGTAAGTGAAAACAGAGCAGCTACGCTGGGTTTCTGGCTTAGCCGATGCATGAAAAAAGCGTCTTCCTCCAGAGACTTTATCCAGCACTACCTTAACATAAAAACCTAATGATCTTCATATGAGAACATAGTGTATCCTACAGTCAAGCTTGATGGTATCTATTCCTTGACTGTTTACTTGTATTTTAAATAACACTTAAACTTTATAAAAATAATTATTGATTACTTTTTAAACGAACACAGTATCAAGTAGCATTTCAATAAACTGTTTGGACATTCAGTTCCTCTGTTTTACACTTTAATCAATGCATGGTCCCCTTGTCCAACCTAATTCTCAGCACAACCACTGCAGAGTTGAAACCACTGGATTTTGGATGCTAGCTGAGCTCAACTTCTCATTACCACAGACACAACAAAGGACAAAATGCAGCCAAGACCGTCATCAGCTCATTAATGTATTAACTAATGTTTTTACAGCAGTCTAAGGTTGTGAAGCACTATTAATATAACAACTGTTATTTGGCAGACTATAAAATGCATAAACCTTAATAAAATTGTGTCTGCCTCACTTAAACACAATAGGCATAACTCAATGTCGCCACAGACTTTGAAGAGTAATAGCAAACCATCAGCTATTAAAGAGCAGGATTCTCCACTTGTTAAATACATGGCACAAAGTAGATTTAAAGTCAGGATCTTTCTATCAGCCTCCCTTCTCCTCCATTCCCCAAACTTGCCATGGGGGACCTGCACTACTGAAAGTTAGAGAAGTCATTCTGCTCTCCATGGAAAACAGAACTAAGATTTTTTTTTTTAAATTCTGATTAAAAAAAGTCATTGGACAATAGTTACATAAACACTACTTAACCAATTACTTAAGGAGGATTAAAAAAAAAAAATAAAAATCAACATTCAGTCCAGAACAGACACAAGGGAAGAAGGCTTTATTGGCCAACATACTAAATTTTGTTAGCTGCTGAAGAGGTGGAATGTACAGAATCTTCTCTTCTTTCAAAACACATGGATGGAAGTTTATTTAGCCAATTTAATAGTGGACCCTCCTTTTATCACAACACGCAAAAGATCTATAATGCCACATACATTCACATCAGGTCAGTATAGAGATGCTTGTTAGTAAAGTGCAACTAAGTGTAAAGCTATCACTTCTGACCACAAAACCTGCAGCTGTCACAATTTTGGTTAGAAACTTCCAATCTAATTTGTCAAACAAGCAGCAGAACCTACATATTTCCCAGGTAGGAATGGCACAACGAAAAGTTACAGGCTTCAGTTATTGTAGTGAGTAATAAAGAGTGGGATCGAGTGTATCCTCAGCAAGTTTGCAGACAACACCAAGCTGAGTGGTGCAGTTGACACAACTGAGGGATGGGATGACATCCAGAGGGACTTGGACAGACTCAACTGGGCCTGTGCGAATGCCATGAAGTTCAACAAGGACAAGTGCAAGGTCCCACACATGGGTCAGAGCAACCCCCAGTAACAATACAGGCTGGGGTATGAAGGGATTGAGAGCAGCACTGCTGAGAAGGACTTAGGGGTAACTTCTGGATGAAAAGTGGGATGTGATCCAGCAATGTGTGCTTGCAGTCCAGAAGGCCAACTGTATCCTGGGCTGCATCACAAGAAGTGTGGCCAGTAGATCGCAGGAAGTGATTCTGCCCCTCTACTGCACTCTGGTGAGACCTCACCTGCAGTGCTGTGTCCAGCTTTGGAGTCCTCAGCTCAGGAAACACATTGACCTGTTAGAGCCAGTCCAGAGGAGGGCCACAAAAATGATCACAGGGATGCAACACCTCCCCTATGAAGACAGGCTGAGAGAGTCAGTGTTGCTCAGCCTGGAGAAGAGAAGGCTCTGGGGAAAGATTTTTCAATATTTAAAGGGGGCCTTTTAAAGGTAGCCTGTAAGAACACTAGGGACAAACTTTTTAGCAGGGCCTCCTGCAGTAGGACAAAGGATAATGGTTTTAAAGTAAAAAAGAGCAGATTTAGACTAGATGTGAGGAAGAAAATTTTTTTAAATTAGGGTGGTGAGATACCGAACAGGTTGCCCAGAGAGGTGGTAGATGCCCTGTCCCTGGAAACATTCAAGGTCAGGTTGGGCAGGACTGATGTAGCTAAAGATGTCCCTGCTCACTGGAAGAAGTTGGACTAGGTGACCTTTAAAGGTTCGTCCCAACCCAAACTATTGTATGATTCTATCCGATAAGTATGCTACTCTGAGTCCAGTAAAGCTGGCAGTGGAGTGGACGAAAAAAAAAAACTGTAGCATAACCTAGCAGTAACCAGCTAAAGAAAAAACATACAGAGGGAGTCAAGTCTGCTTGCTATCTCATTTTTTAAAATTAGCATGAAATGGCTGTAGCCTCAGCTCAGCTGAAATGTAAACTGTTCCACCTCCACAAGCTACACAGCGGTAACCGGGGCACCTGGGGGTGATTCATATGGCTGACCATTTTAAAGCTATAAGCATAGAAAACAGTTTTTGTTACAGCATTATCAGAAGTGATCATTTAATTTAAACACAAATTATTCTGCTTTGTAAGTGCACTAGACATTGCTAGTACAGTAGGAGTTTGCTGCATTATTAATATTTATACAAAATTATCACAATGGGTTTACTTCTTTAACATATTTTCATTTCTGAGGGTAAATAATACATATGGAAAGCTGTGGTTTTTTTCCCTACCAACTTTCTCAATTTGACTTTGACTATCTTTGACTTTAGGAATTGATTCAGTTTGTCAGGGGCTGGTTGATATTTGAGGACAGCCTCCTCAAAACACACTCCATCCTGTGTGCAGAAAGTGAAGCCTTGCAGAAACCTAGTATAGATGTGCAGGGATCTCCTGACTGAGATAAACCCCAAATCCCAGACAAGAAGAACACAGACAAGAAGAACACAGAGAGAGGAAGCAGCGTCAGCCTTAGCCAAGAGCAACAGAGGCATTAGGTGAACATGTAGGAATGGGGTTAGGAAAGTCAAAGCTCAGCCACAGTTGAAATTGGTGAGGAATATGACAGGTAACACTAACAGCTTCTACAGCTACACTGACAGCCAAAGGAATGCTAAGGAAAATGTGCTCAGTGGGGCAGGTAATCTACTAAGGTACAATATGGAAAAGGTCAACACTCAGTGGTTTTTTGACTCCCTTTTCCCTGAGAAGGTCTGTCCTCAGGTCTCCAAAAACCTCTACACTACCAGCAGAGTCTTTGGGAGGAAGTGAAACATTACCAACAGACAAACAAATCCATGAGATTTGTGAGTGCTGTGTCCAATTTTGGTCCCCGCTATACAAAGAAGATGCGGACAGGTTGGAGGAAGTCCAGAGAAGGGCCATGAAGAGGACTGGAAGACCTTCCATATGAAGAAAGGCTGAGAAAACTGGGCCTGTTCAGTCTTGGGAAGGGAAGGCTTAGGGGGCACCTTATCACCATGCACCAGTACAGAAAGGGTGGCTTCCAAGAACATGGAGATTCGCATTTCACCAGAAGTCACATAGAAAAGACGAGGGGTAATGGACACAGGTTGCTTCTGGAGAGATTCTGACTGAACTGCAGAAGAAATTTTTTTGCCATGAGATCAATCAGACATTGGAACAATCTCCCAGGGGAACTGGTGGACTCAGCTTGACATGGTGCTGACTCATCTCATTTAAACTGTACTTATACCTTGAGAGGTTGGACTGGATGATCCTTGTGGTCCCTTCCAACCTGGTATTCTACGATTCTGTGAGATCAGATGGGAGAGATCCAAAGGTACTGAGTGAGCTGGCCCATGTCACTGCAAGGGCACTCTATTGTCTTTGAGAGGTCATGGTGATCGGAGGAGGTTCTTGATGACTAGAAAAGGCAAACATCTTTATGAAGGGCAAACGGAGGATTTGGGAAACTACAGGATGGTCTACCTAGCCTTAGTCTCTGTGAAGGCTATGGAACAAATCCTCACGAAAGGCATTTCCAGGCACACGAAGGACAAGAAGATGACAGGAAACAGCCAGCTGGAACAGGCTGCCCAGAGAGGCACTGTGAAGTCTCCATCCTTGAGGATATTTAAACTTGGCTGGGCAAGTCCTGGAACAGCCTGAATCTATCTGACTGACCCGAGCAACCTGATCACAGTGGACCTCTAAGGAGGAGGTTGGACCAGATGAACTCCAGAGGTTCTCTACCATTCCTACCTAAATTATTCTATAATCCTGTCTTCCCACATGGCTATCAGCAGAAACCAGTATTTCATACACAGACAAATGCATTCCTATTGTGGGTTACACTAACAGGCTGCAAACAAAAACAGGAAAACAAACTAACATAATTTATTCATACTGCATGCTTCTCTGTATTTCAGTTTATTTCTCTATTTTCAGACATGCAAAGTCCTAAAAAATTTCCAGGGGTCATGCAAACTGCTTTAGAGTCACCATAACCCCATAATAAATGGAAAGTAGCTCATTGACATCTGAGGTTCATAGACTAGCAGCTAAAAAAAATACTGCTACAGCTAAACCAGCAGGCAATTGCATATCACAGCATGTGACTCATGTCACAGTAACTTTTGAAATTTGTGTTTATATTGCAATGAAACAAAGGAAAAAAAAAAAAGAAAAAGACTTTCAAGTGTGCTTGGAAATCACAATAATGTCATAAAGGCTTCTTCCAGACTGAAAAGTGAAACTTTTCAGCATCAGGCCCCTTTGTACTGCTTACCTCACCAACCAGCCTGACTTCTCTGTCCTCTGGGGCTTCCCTCTCAAAATTAACAATTTCAAAAAAAGATTTAGGTTAAATATACCGACACGCGCCAACAAAATCACTGTTACAAAACATTCTGTTCAGTCCTGCTTCTTCAACTAACGATATCCAAACCACTACGTGACCAACACTTCACACACTGGTATCGCTGCTGAGAGTTCGCTGAGTTCAGTGAACACAGCACAGTGACAGGCTGCTCCTACAAGTCACTGCCTTTTGCCTTTGACAAGCAGCAGTGACACAGACAGCAAAATAGGGACATCACTGAACTGAAAGGCATTTTCTAAGAACTCTGGTCTATCTTGGTGGGGAGGGAAATTTCACCCTTACCTTTGCTATGGTACAGAAGACAGCTACATCTGGGCCTGATTAGGCCCTCAGCTACAATGCTTAGTAATTCTTGCTGATCTTTCAGAGGGACAACTAAAGTCATTATAATATCTCTGTACAGCTGTGTTAAAACAAACAGCTCACAAAGAATGTAATTTTCAAACATTTACAACTGATGCCTCAAGTTCCTTTCCTGTAGTTCTTTACTTGAAATTTTCAATCTGTTCTTCCTTTCCTTTCACTTCACTGGAATGGCTCTTGCCAAGGTCTCTAACAAGTTTTTTTCCTGAAAAAAAACTCAAGATCTTTTCTTTATCTTCATCCATTATGACTTTTCTGCTGTGCCGATCACATCTTTTTTGGCACATTATTCACACTGGGCTTCTGTGACATGTCATCTCCTGATTCAGCATGTTCTTATCATCCCTTAGTATCCTTTTCAGCAGCATCTGGTTTTTTGACCCATTTTTTTTGCCTCTTACACATTTCCCTCTTCTTTTCTGCCTCAAATTATAGGAGAAACAGAAAGGTCAGGGTAATGATAACAAGCTTTAAAAAAATTTCAAGTGATTAATAATGCAAATGACTACTTGGCTTCAAGAATAAATTAGGCACCTTTAACTCCAACAAAAAGGAAATATTTTACATGCAATGTATAAACTAGCAGCAAAAGCCATGTTGCAGGTATTTCTTATAACAATTACTGAAGTGAAAATACAATTAAGCAAGCATGAAATCAGTTATCTGATTTAGAATGACCTAATCAGTATGAATCAGGACCAGACAAACTCCAAGTCAGTCATCACAATCAGAGTTATGAAAACTCTGATCAACCAGAAAAAGTCCTCTCAGACTAAAATTATTTAATATCCATCACCGAAGAAAATTAAGTAACTACGGTTTCCTTAGACATTTTCTTAAAAGGAGAATGAAAAACTGCAAGTGAATAACCATCCGTTAGACATGGCAAGAACAAAAGCCTTCTCAAACAAGAGGTATATCAAGTGGATAGTTTTATACCATATTTAAGTGAAAATTTACTACATGAAATGTGGAAAAACTGATAGGAAAGAAATAAAGTAGTAAAAAGAATAAACACCATTTAAAGAAATGAAATGTAATAATGTATGTTTTCTAGGTGTCAAGACAGTATGCAATTTTAAATATGTATCAGAATGTCACATTTCCTAGCTCTATAGTATATCTTACACTATAGCTAAGGCACCCAGTTTTCCTAGGTTTGTATACCACTCATTATTATGAACTCTTGATTCCGACACAGCTACTGGGGCGACTTTTATAATCCAGTACTATGCGATAATTTATATCAATTACTTGCACTTTGCATATTTTATTAAACATGCATCTGTAAGAACACCTGTGAGATCCTTTATACACACAGGGTAAACATACGTGCCCTGCAAAGTCTGATAGAGAAGATACTTAACACAGCTTTCTGTATTATCTGTGTGTGCAGGCGAGCAGCTAACAAAACCTACGACTGCCACTGGACTGCAGTTGTTAATATAGACCTCCACTTCTGAAAATTAAGACCATAACACAATTATAGAAGAAGTTTTTGCATTTCAGTGTCTTACCTTTTAATAATAATAAAAAAATAATAAATGTTTTAAATGCTCTTTGCATAGAGTACATCTTAAAGTCAAGCATTTAAAGCAAGGATAACAGCAGATTCACTGGCATGAGATTTATCATCTGACAAAGCCATCAAGGCAGCATGCTGCTGGCTGCAGTCCAATTCCCCCACATACATATCACCGTCTGGTGTGTAAGTTAATAGCAGTCTGGACTTGCATCCTCTCCACTTCTCAGCCAGCTCCCTTCTTCCCCTGCAGCTACATCTTTAACAAGAAACTGTAATGAGATCTGCCCACCTGACATAGTAAGCCCTCTGTAATACAGCTATGCTTTAAAACTTTCATGTCTACTACGTTGCAGGTGTCAAGGATGAAACTTAATATAGAATCAATGAAGTTATTGAGCCAAAAATACACTGAGATATCTACCTACCTGATGGAATGTGTGATCATATTTACTTTTGAGAATGGATAGCTGCCTATCTCAAATAAAACTAGGTGCCTACACATTAAAACTAAGTTTCAACTCTAGCAAACATGAACTCTTAAACAATTAAAAAAATCTGTATTTAGCATATTCATTACAGCAACTGTTACAGAATCAGATTTTCAAATATTGCTTCTTTGGTACCAAGAGTGATACTGTATAATGCACTGATTTTATGTATACCATCAAATACCTTACTTATTAATTGCCAGTATGCCATACTTAATGACTCAAAGCCAGGCTGGGTCACAGGCATCCTCAGGCTGCTTTGGAACAGCTACTCAGTTGTCTTCGTGAGCACATGGGTCAAGTCAGAAAACAAGTGTCATCACTCAAAACGGCTATGATTCTTACTATATTTTGAGTTTCTGGAAACAGGTGGCGATTGTTTCACTAAAGAGCTAAACACTAATAAAATATAATCAGTAAATTACTAACGAACGCACAGACCAGGAGATAAAACATTGGGTGGTGAACAAGAAAAAAATAGTTTGTTATTGGCTCTGCCTGTTCTGTGCAGACTATTTCATGTCTTCAAAACCTTGCTCTTATATATTTTTAAAATACTGCTTGTACTGGATATATTATTTTGTTTAACAAAAACATCAATGATAATAACAAAATGTGAAAATGTTAGTAATTTTTGAAGTGGTAGTTTCTGTTCATTAATACGAAATGCATCTATTTAGTATTTACCTTAGTGCTATTGTGAATGTATTTATTTAATGGTTTGAACTGTATTTCTTTCTATAAAAAAAATCTTTGGTAGAAAGCATTCTAGAACCATATTGTGCAATTTTCACTTTAACACATACATGCAAATACCACATTCACACATATAATTTAAACTGAGTAAATTACCACTGTGGGATTACCACTATTTTACTACCATAATCTTGATGAGGCTCTTTAATTTATGTAACAACAACTGAATACTTATTTCTTCATGTTGAACTTTTGTCAGGAGAACTTCATCAGTGCAATTTTTAATATTCCTATTCCTTTAACACCACGTTAATTCCAGCAGGTACTCAGGTCCTTATGTAGGAAACCTTCAAATACAAACTTAGGACGTTCTAGAAATCATCTAAAATATGCTAGCATAACACCAAGTAAATATTTTGAAGGTTTAACCTAAGAATCAGTCAGAATCAGAGGGCATATTGGAAATCTTATCCCAGTCTGTCAATGAGACAGTATCTTATTAAAAGGTATATTGCAATTTCAGACATTGATTTGGAGAAGATTCTAAATTCTAATCAACTTAGAAAACTTTAAAATAATTTTCTATCACTGATAGGTAGATTTTAAAATTTGCATGTCAAATTTCAACAATTTAACCTTCTGGGAAGTCTTATCTTCACAAAAAAGGTATGACGTATTCTTGGTTTACATATTCGTGGCAGCAATCCAGAAAAGGCAAAGCATACCATTAAAAATGTGTGTCTTCTACTTTTACCAACTCCCACCGGCCTCCAGAAATATTACTTGTATTTTTAATTGTTTCCTTACTTAGCATATGCCGGAGCAACCCAGTATGGATTCTCCTCCGCTTCCTTTGCGTGACGTAAAATAGCTTCTCGAGGGTTGCTATCATCTGTCTTATCCAGTGCGATATTCTTGACTATATATGATGACAAGGTACCTCCATGAGTTCCAACACGACCACCACGACCTGTAGCAAAAAAAAAAATAAATTACAAAAGAGTATTTTACAGACAAATATTTAAGAAATAGACACAGAAATGTTGGAATCTGTCTGTAAGAGTAATGTGATACACAAAAGTTATTTAATACTATAGGAAGAGTCTAATTTAGAGCTGCATTCATCTAAGTATTTTATCGATTATATAACTTAAAGGTTAAGTTACTGCAATTAGTAATTTATTCCAGGTAAGCACTCCAGTCAAACAGCAATGTCTTACAATGCTGGACACTGCCCATACATACACGGTAGAGTCACCACCCAAAAAGCTTTGAATGGAAATCTGAATGAGCGTAGAACCCATGCATCATGGTCCCTTTGGCACGCAACAGTCTGAAACGGTTATGCCTACGGTACCTGGTCCTGCTACTGGAGGTTCGGGCTTGTGAGACTTCATGGGGTCCAGCCTATCCTTCTCCAGCTGTTTCCTCGTGCTTCGCTGTCGTGGTTCACGGAACATTGGAAGTGCATGAGCTGAGGAGTCACAGTTTGGAGAAAAAGAAATGTTAGACATTCCATATTCTTTTTAAAGTTTTAATTACAAAGACAAAGAGTGGGATTCTTCCTTGCAATGGAAATGTGGCAGAAGCAGCCTCCCAGTTCTTCTGTATTCATGCAGTGTTTACTAAGGTGTATTTTAGAGGGCTTCTTTCTGCTGAATTTTTCAAAGATGAAAGAAGCCAGATTTTCAGGGTTCCTTCAGGCAGGAGCCTTTCATCTAAAATACTGTTTGCATAGTTTATGCACGTTCAATTTATTCCTCTGTCATTCTGTTCCCAACATTAGCATTGTGACCAACCAGTTGCTCTTTTCTGAACTTTCCATGTTTCTACAGGTTTGTAATACTCTTAAAGAATATAACAAAACCCTAGATGCATTCTTGGATCTGAAACAGAGAGGGGAAGAATCCCCTCAATAATGTAAAATCTAATGTTTCTGCATATGAAGTCACAATCATGTATTTTCTCAAATGATGGGATTAATCAAGGTTGGAAGAATGCCTGTAACTGAGACAATCTGTCTGAATTATCAGGGTTTAAAAGTTATATGTCCTCATAAACCTGCTATAGTATCTTCAATCACAGTAACAGGTTTGGTCTGCTCAGACAAGAGACACATTTGTCAGCAACAGAGAAACACCACGTTAAGGGACACAGTTGTCTTGTAGTTAGGTTTAGCTCTCACATTCAGGTATGATGATGCCTGCTGTTTCCCAATATATGGGAAATTGTGTTGGGGTCAAAAGACCCAACAAAGACAAAAACTAACCAACTAAATCTTAAATTTAGGGTCACTGGCTCTTTATCAAATAAAAAAGATAGAATGCAGCATCCAGGGACCTATCAGTTTGATTTTTCAGCTTATTGCTGGAAGCCTGCTCAATTTACTAGACTGAGTGAAGCCACAGCCAGGTGACACAGCAGTAGATCACCGGAAATAAATGTTTAGGTTTTATTTTTGTACATTTCATGAAGTATGAAGTGGCTGGGACAATTTGTGGGCAAGCACTAAGCTTGATCCGTTTGCATAGGGCATCTGAGGTGACTAATGCTCAGAAACAAGCTTTTGCCACTTGTGGAGTCAAGGCTGCCTAAGGGAAACCCAAACTGTGTATTCCTATGCTTTAGAAGTAATACTTAATCCCTAAAAACAACATCCCCACATTTTAAATAGACATTACAGGAAATCCTGAGACTGAAGAGCAGCTAGAAGTTTAAAGGGTGGGGGTGTGCAAAAGATGGAAAAAGGGGGCAGTTCACTCTGCAGAAGGACTTCTGAGATCTTCAGTTATTTCCAGTTCTATCTGTAAGCTTAAAAGACAGACATCTAACATCTGAGCAGTCTCCAAAATCTGCAAACCGTCTGCTGATTCAGTCAAGGATGTAGTAAGGATGGATTGAGAAGAGCACCCCAAGGAGTTAAATATCCCTGATCTTTGCCAGCTGTTACTTTACCCACTGCTATCCAAAAACTGGAGCTGGATATCTGCAACAGTAAGGTAAGCAGGAGATAGCTGTGCCTGGAACGTACCTGAGATGGGAACCCAGAAAACTGCCTTGATATGGGCCTGGTTACCAAGAGTGCCCAGGCTTTCTCATTCTAAACTTCCTTTTTGTTTCTTATTCTGCCAAACAACTAACTTTGTTCTACAGAAACAGTTTTCATCATTTCTAAGACCAAGACTACTGGAAAACAGAGCTGAATCCAAACACCGTGGAACTGGAAGAGGACAGAGGGAAGGACAGCACAAATGTGTGACTGTTCTCATTTCACACAATCACAAGCGGCAGGTTACTGAACATTCTACAGTAACAATAGTAAATATTTCTTATGCATTAGTGAGCCTTAATATGAACATAAAGTCTTACATAAGTATAACCCTGAGGCTAGAGAGATATTTAAAAATCCATATAACTCTAGGCAAGTTGTAGATTTTGAAAAATCACTTGGAATTTGTTCAAGACCTATCTCTAATGTCTGTGATTTTGTCACTGGTACTGTTAATGTTCCCAAGTGGCAAAACACTTCCTAAACCCATCTACACTCTCCAACTTAGTTATGAAAAATTGAAGAACTAAGAAAGCTCCAGAATCCTGGAGGTTTTTTGTGTTTTGGTTTTTTTGTGGTTTGCTTTTTGTTTCTTTGTTTTTAAGGCAGTTGTGCTTTCAGGTGCATCAGAATCTGGAAACCAACACTTATCAACAACTTTTTACAAAGCATACAGAATACATACGTTTTTGGTTGTGCAAGGCTACAACAAATTTCTATGAAGCACTAACATCTCACGCCAATGATTAACACTTAATGAAAGACTGCAACTTTAAATTTAGAGGTGAAAATACAAAGCTAAATGATCTGCAAATAATGTCAAAGGTCACAAAAAGCTAAGGCTGCTGCTATGAATATATGTTTAAATTCCTTACGTGTTATAATGTAATCCTGTGTAAGAGTCTCTGCTTGTCTCTCTTTTCGTTTTGTTTTGACCACGCATAATTTTGCTCCCCTAGGAGGAAACATACAGCAGTTCAGTGGGTCTATTTATATCAAAGAGAAACCATTTTTCATTCAAGACAATCTCAACAAAATCATATAGCACTTTAAATATTAATGAATCTGTGTATCTTTGCCTGTCCATGCACATGTGAAGGAGAGTAGAGAGATTAGTGTTTCTGCTACAGAGCAGTTCATATGATATGCGGAAATAAGGGTCGAAGACTCATTTCACACTTCATTTGTCCACACTGCTTGTGGACATTGAAAGTGCTCCTCTCCAAACATGGGCAATTATTTTCTCCTAGCACTCTTCCCAAGCAGCAGTTATCTAACCAGAGGCGTCCACAGCAGGGAAGCCTGCCTAAGCCTGGCAGTAGCAAGGCTGATTTAAGCTGGTGGTATTTCCCTTTTCACCAGGAGTACCAGAAAACAAACTAGGCACAAAACTGAGCCGGAGCTCTTTAGTCTGTTCCTGGGAACTCCCTCTTGGAGAGGGAGCCAAACAACGATGACCAACAGTCCTGTTCTCTAAATTGACAAAAACCAGAAAAATAAAACTTTCTGATAATCTTGTAAACCAGAGGTTATCTTCATGTCAAAGTATCCAGAAACTGTGAACTGTAACACAGCATGTTTTTGGATGCCTGTGAAACAGAGATGAGCGCATATAGGGGAAGAACATCTTATTCATACCACTCAGTATAGATGAAGTGTACATTTTCCCTCTGCTGACAGGAAGGAAGCATGCTCCAGTTCTCCAGCCAAAATAGCTGGTAAAAGCAAATTAATTGCATAAGAAGTATTTATAAACTAGCTAAGTCGTCTTCTTTTTATTCCAGGCTGACAAGTCACCTTCTGATGAATCACTACCACCTTTCCATTAGATTTACAGGCAAAATCCACATGCTATAGGTGGGGGTGGGGGAAACAACTACCAGAAAGATGGGAATGTACTTCCTTGCTTTGCCCCCTCTCAAATTGGGTCTTCCAATACTACTTCACAGACACTGAAGTTTAAGCTAATGCTTCTAAACAATATTTTCACTTCAGAGAAAAACCCCAAACACATCAAAAATAAGAGTAAATACAATGAATATCCTTTTAATACCACCACATCAGCAAACTTCAAGGGATCAGGTGCAAGGTTGGTTATTCTTACTGCAGATTTCATGCAATAAAAAATGAAGGCGTTTGTAAATCCAAGTAGAACAGCCAGCATTCCGCACCATGGAAAGACCAGAGGAAAATGCACTGCTTTTCAAAAACAAACTGGTTTGTGTTTTTTTTCTCCTTTCTACTGTTACTAAATAAGTAAAACTCTGGAAAACAAATGTTACTAAACATTCTTAGTATAGTCATAGAACCACAGCATCAGGCAAAATCTGAGCAAAAAATAGCGTTCTTAATCATTAAGCATGACTACGTACCTCTGGCTTTTGACAGGATCATAGTACACTTTGGCCAAACCATTTCCTGTACCAACCATGATCTGGTTCAGCTTAGGATGCCAAAGGCAACGCACAACACTCTGAAATAAAATAACATATTGACAGTTAGTTGATCATTCACCTAGAACTTAGAATTAATACATTGTCAAACAGGGGACCAAAGTCCCCTGTAGCAGGAACAAGCTTAATCACATGAATTAATATGTGAATATGTGAATGAATAAAAATTCCTCTACAGAACAGAATATAATGTAAAAGGCATGACAATGCACAGATGCAGGCAGAGAAAGAAGTACGGTTGCAGTGTGATAAGCAGTGGTTTCTATGGGCTAACTGTCCAGGGTCTTCGTGGGCATAATGGAAATGGAAAGTTGAAGGGGAATTTGAAGAACAATGAAGTGCTTCAGACACAGCAATGCAGGCCTTCATGACTTTAGCTTTTTTTATTTTAATTCTTCCACCCTGTGTTTAGTTAATCTGTTTTGCCCTTCTTCTCACTCAGTGCTGAACTTTCACTTGCTGACAGCAGAAACGGAAAAGCAGCTGCTTTTCACTCTTAGCTCTTTCTTCCTCACAGCACCCAGAAGAGCTTGGTATTTGAAGCCAGTGTCTCACAGCTCTGTCACCCTTCTGGTCAGCACAGAAACTCATTCTTAGACATTAAGAGTATTGTTCTCTGACACACAGCATGGTTCTCCGTATGACTTTGAATCTCCATGTGATTCAGTCTGATTCAGCAGGTCAGCACAGAAGCTCTGTAAGACTCAAGCTCCTACTTGAGACAGCCAAAGAAGTGGGTACAATCTGCCACAAAGGACAACACATCTTAACACAAACACAAAACCTGAACGTGCATCTGACTAACTGAGGTAGGAGGGGGAAGTATCTATTTTTGAAAGACAGTGATACTGTCAGGGGATACTGATAGGGAGTACTGTCCAAAACTGAAGACAGGTCTTAACAATGTTTGTGTTACCTATGTAATAGATGTATCCAGAGCTAGCATCATCTTGCTAGTATTTCACGGAAAAATGCCCATTTTTCTAGCCCTTCCCCCCCCCAGGCTTACTACTACTTCTTTCTCAAAAATCAGGAATAGACTCTTCTCAAAGTGAATTAAGAGTTCAACATTCAACCACCATCATTCATCTATCATTAAAGTATCTATATATATATATACACATTTTAATTTTTTTTTTTTTTTTACACATGACACAGCACATGAAATTCACAAAATGAGAACCACTAATGTCTTAACAAGAGAACTACAGCAAGCTGAAATATAATTAGGGATGTAATATAGCCCTGCAACTTGGGCGAAGAGAACCATCTACCTGGAAAAGAATGGTTATGTGTCAGCCCTAATCACTTCCTATTTCATGTTCCATACCATTTCTGGTTTGGTCCAGATCTCTTTTTTTTTTTAATGTTATAAGGCACATAACATTAAAAAAATACTGAAAACATTCTGAAGCCCATTCAACCATCATGAACAGGAACTTCATTTTACTACAACATGATGCATGACTCTCTTCTGAGCTGTTTTTCTGCTTTGTGTTCTTGTTTAAGAAGAAAAATTGAGTGAGACAAGTTAACATGAATCAACTGGCCATTCTTTACAAGGTTCCTCTGTAAAACATCCTCCTTCTTCATAGGTATCCATACAATATTTACTTAGAGGTACAAATAAACCTGGCTTAATTATTATGAGACAACTAAAGGACAACAATCTTTTTACAGGTAACACTGAAGTACAAAGTAGAAATCTGATAATGCATTATGTCTGTGATCCCTGCCACAAGCAACCAAAATAATCAATACAAAGTCACTAGTAAGTTGTTTGTTATAAATGCAAAATTCTAACATACTGTTATGTAATGCCCAAAATGATACAGTAACTCTAAAACACACAAAACTAATAACAAGTATTAAAGGTCAAAGATGGGTGGCCTTTTCTTTTATTAATATTTATTGCATGTGTTTAGCCAGCCTCTTTAAACTTTGTAGTTAATGTGGTTCTCTACTTTCTGCTGTGAAGTAAATGTGTTTTATAGCATGGTACTGGATAACAGCCAACAAAAACAAAGCTTGAGACAGCGTGGCTCAGCACTGATGGCGATTGCTAAGTTTCTAACTTGTCAAACATGAACAGCACACTTAAAACCACCATGGCACGTGCTCCAGAGCAGGCAAACGAAACTGCCATTAAATGCAGTCCTATAAATCTTCTGAAACTGTAAAACGTCCCCAGAATATAATTTGTTAAATACTAAACAAACACAAGCTCTGAACATGCAAGTAATTTTATTAACCCACTGGCATATAAACCTACTTTACAAGATATAATAAAAACTACTTATGCAGATTTTCAGAGTATTTTAGAAATGGGCAAAACTTTTTAAAAAAGACCAGATCACTGAATTCGTGAACTGAATCCTAATAATTTTTCCCAAACCTATAATCCTGAAGAAGTAAAAACTCTAAACAACCATACAACAAAGGGATCATTGTAGACCAGGTCTTAACATTGGGAATGAGGAGAGGAAGGGAATTTTTTATTACACAATAATTAATTCTTAAAGTGCATTTATTCTGCAATGCCTCTAACTTTCCTACTGTTTACAATTAGAATGACTCAGGTGGACATCCTTATAACTGGAAACGCTAAACATCAAATTCCAGCCCAAAGAAGGTCCTACTCCCCAGCTCTCCAGACAAGTATTTATGTTAACAGAAGGAAAGGAAATGTTCTCCTGGCTTGACCTACCTATGCATATAGGTGGACGCCCACCTACTGATACTGGGTTTTACACCACTACAGAATGGTTGCGGTTGGAAGAGAGCTCTGGAGATCATCTAATTTAACCTCCCTGCTCGGACCATGGCCAAGTACTACAGATAGCTGAGGACATTGTCCAGTTCAGTTTTGAGTATTTCCAAAGGTGGAGATGCTACAGCTTCTCTGGGCAACCTGTTTCAATGTATGACCACCCCCACCACAAACCAACCAAACAAAAACCCACAAACCAAACAACAAACAAACTCCAAACCATTTTATGTTTGTGGAGAATGTCCTGTAATTAATTTTGTGCCTATTGCCTCTTGTCCTGTCACTGGGCATCACTGAGCTTTGCTTTATCTGCTTCACCCTCCTGGCCCCTTCAAGTATTTATACGCAAGCTCTCACAGGAGCCTCCTCTCCTCCAGGTTCTCACAGTCCTTCCTTCTGTGCCCAATACTCCAAGCCATTTATCACCTTTGCAGTCCTTCACTGCATTCACTGTAGTATGTTAATCTCTCCTAATGTGAGCTCAAAACTGGACCCAGCACTACAGGGGCTAGGGTAGGTTCCTGCCAGCACCAGGGCTAGGTAGGGGGGAATAATCATAAGGCACCATAGAACCATAGGACGGTTTGGTTTGGAAGGGACCTTAAAGACCATCCAATCCCACCCCCCTGCCAGGGGCAGGGACACCTCCCACCAGACCAGGTTGCTCATAGCCCCATTTGCTGGCAATGCTCTTTTGCCTGATGCAAATGCCCACGAGCTTCTTGCTGCCACTTTGTGTTTCTCTGAGACAGAAAGGGGATTTGCCCTTCCACAATAACTTTTTAAGAATGACTTGTCTCATTTTAAGGTCATGTCTTGCAACAGAACCCAACACAAACAAGGTGGTACTTCAGTTTTAGCTGCCCTTGAGACAGGAGCTCAGGCTGGAAGCAATAACCTCAGCAGTTAAGAGAAAACTGCAAGCTGTCACTCCACTTATCTAGGCGGTTTCATGCTTGGTAAGAGAAGTAGAAGAAAAGGTAATTAAATTGCCTAACATTGCTTTATGGAAACCTAGCACAAAAGACTTGACTAACCAGAAGTACTGGTTGTAAGGAAATCTTACGGATGACAGCTTCAGCAAAAGCTATGAAAAAATGAACAGAAAATATGATCACCAGAACAAGAAAAAACTTCACTTGGCTAATTCTAGATTCAAACATTCAACACAGAAAGACTTAACCTGTTTCTTGGAACATTTAAAGCTGAAACAAGATAAATCTATGTAGATTCTGAAATACAAAAAATTCCAGGTCCTATCTCAGCTTTGCAAATAGAAAATAATGTTTTATTATAACAAATAAGAATGCTAAAATACAGAATTCATCATCACATAAACATCTTCAACATGTGAAAAAAAGATTTCTGTAATGGTTGGATGTTTAGGACACTATATCTTTGGAGCATGAAGTCCTGGAAGACTGTCATTAAAATCCTGAAAATAATTTTATCCATGGAACTGATGTGGCCAGCTTTGTGACCACAAGATGTGAAAATAGAGCACTTACAGAGGACAATTACTCATAACGATCTAAGAGCTGTTTGGTACTTTTGCTGTTGCAAAAGCATTAAGTTCTTCAAACAAAATCAATCTGAAAAGCCTTTGGCAATGTCTATTGCATATACAAACACAGTAGCCTGCATTGGGAAATACTGGGAAAAGATAATGAAAATATTTTCATGAAGTCAGGCAGGGAGAATATTAAAAATGTTAACAGAAACTCTCCAAATTTACCTTCTTCACTGTCACTGTGAAAAGGCTTAGAACAGATTCAGTTGGTGGTGTTGATAGTAGGCCTTGGTAATTATTTTCAGGTAACAGACTGTCTTGTAATACTAATTTAAACTGGAAATAAATTTTAAATTATATATACAAATTTAAAGACTTTTTGTTTTCCAATCTGGATGAAAATGTTTATCTTCTTAAAGAAACGCCTAATAAAGTAAGAACATACTATTTATTGACTGTTCTTGAAACTAGCCATACCTTTTTCTAAAGTTGCTATACTATTATTTGAAATAGAAAATATGAATTGCCTGAGCAACACATTGATTTTTACTTTATTTTTAAACTAAGCACTATGCTCACTTCAGACTCCCAATTCTTTTAAAATAGACACCAGTTTTAGAAAGTTTTACCTATAGTAACTTTAAAGCTTAATAATATGTGGTAATCTTAAACCAGAAAAGTCATAAACATGTAGAAATGTGGCAGGCAAAGGGGATGATATCACTTTTCCCTTGT